TTCCGACGATAAGTGCAGTTTCTTTTGTTTCGCATTCTGTCGTTTGGGGTTCAATCGTTTTCACATCAATATTAAATTTGCGGTCTTCCACCGGCATTTCAACACTGTCATGATCTCGGACTATTGATTTCCATACTTCATGATAGTGTAGCATAGTTAGACACGAATAAAATTCCTGTAGTTTGTCTTCATGTATACTATCATAGTTTGTTTCGTTTATCGAAGAAACTACGTCGTCTAATTTTTTTAAACGAGTTAATGTCAACGTATTATGTAATTCTTGCGTAGGAACGGGTTTTTTTATGTAAACTGGATTCCAACGAGTGATAATAAGATCAAGCAACTTTCGAATAGAAGAGTTCACATAGAATTTATGTCCTGCGTGTCGTCCCGACCCTATTTCTCCTTGATCACTGTTCAAATCAGGAGAATCATCTTTCGAACAAACCGATGTTGCTTTGGAATTTTTCGTTGACTCATGGAATAGTTCACTGTAGGTGACTGGAAACCATGGCAGCTCCTTTGAATAGTTTTTCGATACAAGAAAGACGACCCGCGCTTGTAGCCATAGATGTCCCATTGGTCCTTCGACCCGTGTCTTGAACCAAACACATTCTCCGTATAAATCATTTGTCCTATTCGTATTTTCTGCTTGCTGCATCATTTTAACTGGCCTATAATCGAATAAAAAGACAGTGGAACTTGTTTAGTTCAATTCTTCAAATAAATTATGGGCGATCCGATGAAAAACAACAACGACGGAGAATAAGATACAGAATTGACGAGAGGGAACTGCTGATCAATTATGATCTGCCTACCTATAACAGAAATGGAAAGATACTGATACGAATTATAGACTAACTCGTGTTTCATAGACTGAAGAGCACCTTTTAATTATTTAGAATAAGTTTACTAGATAGTAGAAGAAGGAGACAACGGCAACTATCGATTCTGCGTCTAAGGAATATTTTTTCGTCATTCGGTATGAGATTGACGAAAAAAAGAGTTTATCTTACCTCGGCTACATACTAAAAAGTAAAGTTGGTCTATGATCGTCTCATGCTCTTCTGAAATTTTCAGATAGTATATCTGAGTTCTAATTCTGTACGGATTGTTATCGCTACTATTCGCTCATTTCTTACTCAACTGATAATGTCTCATACTAGTGAAAAGGACACAGAACTATGGATTATCAGTATATCAATTCAGAATATCGTTAATACCAGCCTAACAATGATTAGATGATTGAAATTGATGCAAAAATAAATAAAGGAAAAATTGAAATGGAAATAAATATGAAAATAAATGTTGAGCTACTTACGAAAAAGAATGAAACAAAGAATTTTTGTATTGTTAAATTTGTTGTAGAGATTGAGATTGTAGACTTACACGTTTGATACGTCTGCAATTAACTGTTGATGGACAAGACATACTTATACTGTCAGAATACACATACAGGTGAAAATTTCCAAGTGCAATAAACATGATGTCATATTCGCTTTCTTTTATTCGTACTGTTGAAGAATAAAACAAATTTAATTCTATTTCTTTTTCTTTTCTGTTTACATGCACACCACGTAAATTATCATTGCAGAACAATGGAAAAAATCCAATCCATGATGGCAACCCATGTAAGCTTTGAAATTAACAAATAATGAATTTTTTTTTCAAGCTGACTGAATCAGAAAGATCCGAAAGATCATCATTGTTTATTTTTCATTGAAATATTGATATGCTTTGCTTATTGTCGAATTTTACCAATGGGAAATCATAATTCATCTTTACAATACATCTCGATTGTTCACTCGCCTACCATAATTCATTATTTTTGAAGAATCAATGTATAGTAACAAAGTACAGACTTCACTGATAGTAACAAAGAAATACAAAATAAACCACAAACACTACCTTAGAAAAAACGATGGTATCTTTTTTTCACTACAATCTACAATGCTAGAAAATTTGGTTTGTATTTCTTTGTTGCTTTTTTGTACATATTACCACATTAGATCGATTGCTGTTTGCAGATTCAAAAGTTTACTTTTAAAAACCTTCTCATTTGATTAATGAAACTCATCAAAGACATGTCTTCAATAGAAATCTTGAAAAAGCTTCTGCCTGAACTTATTGTCAATATTGTTTGATGAAATGTAGCTAAATAATGTAATAACTAGATAAACTAGTTTATCAATCGTTTGTTTATTTCATGAACAAATTACTAGCGAAGCTTCCAAACTTCTTGAAAAGTTCATTTTTGAACACTAAAATTTATTAAAAATTTTTCAAATAATGTATGAAATAATTTCTTTTCTTTGTAAACATCCGCCAGCGATCACATGTTTTCTCTATCGTTCGCAGTGCAATGTTTACAAAGAGAAACAAAAAAGAAAATAAATTGTTTGAATCCATGACTTGATGCTCCCCGGACAATTGCTCCCGGGACAATTGCTCCCCGAACAATTGCTCTCCAGTGACAGTTGCTCCCGCGGCATTTGCTCTCGTGACATTTGCTCCCCAAGGACATTTGCTCCCCAAGGACAATTGCTCCCCAAGGACAATTGCTCCCCAGACACTTGCTCTCTTATGACAGCTGCTCCCTGGATATTTGCTCCCCGAGCATTTGCTTCCCAATGAAAACATGAAATATTTTTTTTATGATTTGCAAGAACAATGTGTAGTTTGATTAAGTCAATACTTGGATACAACAATAGCAAAAGAGAGATTTTATTGATGATAATGTTCCATCTAAATATATATAATTTGCATTTTTTAACATTTTTAATTGTTTTTTGGTTGAAAATATTAATACTCGTTGATCAATCGGACCAGAATCGAATTGTAAAAATGTTCGACCACGAGCTGTTTTTATATATTGTGTATCAATAACAAGCGAATCACGATTTACTGGTAATGATTATGGGTTTTGATGTCTTCGACGAATTCGTTGAACAGTACGTTTAACGTGCTGTAAATTTGGTAGTGTTGAAATTGCATGATCAGATAATCTTGATACACAATCAGCCACAATATCATGCGTTGATTAGCCAGTTTGGTTAGCTGCATCATTCATTTTTGTACGTGATGCAATTACTTCACCTGGTAAATGAGATGGTTCATGGTTATGTTCACCAACTGTAAGTACCACTTGATCATCAATTGTATGAAGTCGACCGCGACATTGATTATGACGATAATTACGACAGCACCATATTATTTTGTTGTTATTTGATTTTTTATTAATAATATATATATAGCCTTGGTGTTCAAGTATTGGTTTTCCTCTAGAAGTTTCCATCATGTAATAAATAAATATTTATTATGTAGAAAAAACGTTGATATGATTTCTTTTAGAAATGTTGAAAAATAAATTTAAAAAAAATGTTGTCGAAATAAATACACAAATTCGGAGATCAAGCTAATTGAAGAGATTAATTAATTAGAAGTTTAAGCTTGTCAACACGCTAGACATATTTTATTGGATTATCTTTGTTTTTGATGTATTTAATTAATTAGCTGTAGTGCATTTGTGCACGATTAGAAAAAAAATTTTAAAAAACTACAAAAACAGAACAGAACACTCATTTGTTGTTTCTTTTTTATGTGATAATTCCTTTCATAATCTAGAGTATTTTCCTATTTTATTTGTTCTATGTTCTTCATATATTCATAGATCCATGTTACCACCTTTTGAAGTTCCGATAAAACTGCATTAAAATTAGCTATATATTTAAAATCAATTCGTGAGTTTTCAGGTATCATAGATTCTGTACGAATTTCTAATCATCTCATTCTCTTCATAATCTTACCGATTTTGAAGTGTTTAAAAATTATATTGAATTTTTCAACAAAAAAATCATAGCTTAAGGCCTAGTGAAATTGAGGAGAAAATGTAACTGGGAAGCCAGTGTCCAGGGAACAAATGTTATAGGAGAGCAAATGTCATAGGGGAGCAAATATCCAGGGAGCAGTTGTCATAGGAGAACAAGTGTCCGGGGAGCAATTGTCCTTGGGGAGCAAATGTCACGAGAGCAAATGTCGCGGGAGCAACTGTCACTGGAGAGCAATTGTCCGGGGAGCAATTGTCGCGGGAGCAATTGTCCGGGGAGCATCATTCGTGTTACCAAATTGTTTCACATATTACCAGAAAAAATTTTGATAACTTTTACCATTGAAAATGAACTTTTGAATAAGGTTCAAAGCTTCACTAGTAATTTCTTTATAAAACACAAAACAAACGATTGATGAACTAGATTATCTAGCTATAAGCTCAATGCATTTTTTTAAAGACTAAATCACAGTTCCTCAAAAACATTGAATTTGTTCTTTATTCTTTATTTATTTCCTCTTCGTGTCTCTCGTTTGTCCCTTTGTGGGTGTGGGTGTTGCTGTGGATGTCGGTGCGAAAGCATTTCTTATCACATCCACACCCAAAATTTTGCATGATTTACGTGGTGATAAATTTCCAATAGATTGTTCTATTTTTGCTGTATCTGGATGATAGGCAGGAAGCAAGGGCGTTGGTGTGGGTGTTGTTTTTCTATTCATGGACATCCACACCCACACCCACATTCACATCCATATCCCATCTATATCTATTATTTGTCATGCACTTGATGTTCTCTTTGTCAAAATGATTTATAGTGATGCAAATTCTTATCTGCTTGATGATTATATTCTCTGGGTGTTTTTTTTTCTAATGTAAAATCTACAATATTCAGTGTGTATTTGGCTTAAGGGAGTTGAATTTGATCATCTTCATAAATACATTCCTGCCGTTTGGACACGTCCGTACAAGTTCGAATATGAAATCACCTGTTTTGTGATAAAAATAGGAATTAATTCAATATCAAACGACGACTAAAAAACCTTTCTTCTATTTATCAAAGCCAACATGATCTATATCGTACTTTTATTTAAAAGAAACGCCGTTATAGCGCCAAAATGGCATAAAGCGGCGTTATTTAGCAGAATGACGACGCTATTATTGCAATATCAATAGCGTTCTATGCGACACAGTAGTGATACTACAATATATTGACGTTATGACCGCACTATGCTTTTATGCTGAATAACACACATGTAGTGCTAAGCGTGTGTATGTGTGTGGGTTTTTGTGTGGCAATCTGCTGCTTCTTCAGACCCACATTCACATCCATACCCACATCCAATACATACGATCTCGTTTGGTTGGATAATCATCTCAAATATCCGTCAGAGTTAACGTCAAGTACTCTACTCTATGATTGTAGCCAGGGTGAATCTCAAGAACAAGCAAACATCGATAACCACCATCAGTATACTCTAGTATCAATTGAGAAAAACAGATCTTCAACTGTTGATTATGCTTGTTGTTCAAATCATTGTTCTTGCTCTTTGTGTAATACTGCTGATCTCATATCGATTGTATTCTACATGGACAGTGAACAATGTAGAATCATCATGACAAGCATCTGTTGAGTAGTTTTCATTTAATCTTGTGCTTTACCTTTTCTTTCTAGCCAATGGCATGCTGTTTTATAGATATAACTGTAGAAGTTTGTGCGAATGATGAGTTTTTCTTTTACCGAATGATTGTAATAAATGGGAGCATTTTTATTTTTGAATAGGCAAAAGTGCTCATTGTTTTTATGTTCATGGTTTTCCAGATATACTTATCCCAACTTTTGTCATTGTCGTTTCTTCCCCTGTCATATGATTTCGATGATACTATTATCTGTTTCAAAATAAAAGTGACCTTATCGTTTTTTGAATAACTCTTCACAAGAAAAAAGATAAAGAGCTGCGATTTTCAGCATTTTAAAGAGCAGACTTGGGACTATCGATATGCACCCGAATGAAAAAAAAACTTGATGAGTTCCTGAGAGTTTTCCAGAGATTGAGGTTTTGAAGACCCTGGATTTTCAAACATTTTCAGTTTTGAAAACGTCATTCAATAGATTACACTTTTTTGTATCTAACAAAGCAAACCCGATATTTCTATGACCTTTCGGTGAAAAGCTAGAGCTTTAGAAAAGGAAGCTCTAATTCTCTTGACGTTTTAGTGACAGTAGTTTTGGTTACATTTAGAATAGTAAAAAGGATGCCATAATCTCCAGCATAGTCAAAAACCTACTTTTGTCTGATTTGTGTACCTGCAGACTGCTGAAATACACATTACAGGTTAAAATTCAACTAGAAAGAGCTTTTTTGGCTAGAGCTCTATCTTTTCATTGAGAGGTCATAGAAATATCGGGTTTGCTTTGTTAGATACAAAAAAGTGTAAACTATTGAATGGCATCCTCAAAACTGAAAATGTTTGAAAATCCACGGTCTTCAAAAATCTTCATCTCTGGAAAACTCTCAGGAACTCATCAAGTTTCTTTTCATTCGGGTGCATACCGATAGCCCCAAGTCTGCTCTTTAACATATTGAAAATCGCAGCTCTGTATCTTGTTTTTATGAAGAGTTATTCAAAAAATGATAAGATCTCCTATTTTAAAACAAATATTCATTCTGAATATGTTTAACTGAACTTATATTTGGAAGTGATGCAAAAGATATGAGAACGTTTGTACACTTCAATATGATCGAAAACGAGTTCAATATGAAGATTCATTATGAATTTTCGATGACTGTTTAGATTGTACGTTATTTCTACATAGAATTTTTCATTCAATGCATGTTTAATAGTTCAATCTGACGAAACATAACAAAAAAAATGGAAATATAACAAGTTGATTATCCGGAGCATATATATATATATATTTCATATCGAAATATATTTCCTCACTCGACCTGACCCAAACCAATCGTAACATAAACTTTAACTTCATTCTATATTCTTCTTGTACTACATGAGTTTTCTATGATTATCTTTAAAAGTATTCAATTAAATTTCTGTGAAATTTCTCTTATAATGATTTTATTTAAATTTCGTGGAAATAGGAGTTTACCATCGCGTGCCTATTTCATGTTGTCTGGTAGTAGAAGTGTTTGTACGAGTATCACTTTCGAAGCCCATCACAGCTGAACTTCGATCGATTGAATAGGTTGTGTTATTTTGTGACCGAGTCCTAAACGAAAGGTCAAATTTTATGTTTACTCGAAGACTCAACCCCAATTTTATTAGACTTCCTATGATAAACTAATTACAAAATGATAAGAAACGTACCGTGTGATTACCGCCTCAGGAGTCACATGGGCTTGGCAACGACTGACACAGTTTTCTCCACGAACACCTATGATTTGTGATTCATCTTCATCGGCAAGAATTTCAGACGTTTTTCCAATTGTACACATAGCGTTTTTCGATTTCACTACGATACCAGTAGCGTTGGTAAGTACGACTTGATATTCACCGACATGTTTTAGTTGAAAATGTTCGATACATAGACAGCAGATTTTGTCATGCTCCTTAACGCTCAAAATGGCTGTCGAGTTGCTCAGTATAATATCTTGTTCATTGAAAAGCCATTTACAATAGTAAGTACCCAAGCCATCAGTGACAAGACGTAGTTCAAGTCGATCACCTTCTTGTACAATTTTGTTGGAAGGTAAGTCAACCAGAATCTTTGGCTGTCTTTCTATGAATAAATGCAGAATGTTTTCACCATGATAGAGTCACTACAATTGTAGGATAGATGTCAACTCGTAATGTCCCGTTACGAAAGTTCTGTTTGCTGATAACTTTTTATAGTGCTTTCGTATAAAAAACCAGGGATTTCGTATCGTTTTTGACAGGACTTTCGAATCGTTGTTTACAGAATCTTCGTATGAATTTTGCAGAATTTTTGTATTGATTTATAAAGGGCCTTCGTACCGCTCTTATAGGGCTATCATAACGTTAGAACAGTTAGTGTAATCCGTAGTCAAATGGTGCTGACAGAGCTTTCGTATTGAGATTAGTATTGTACCAGAAGTTATGACGAAAAAAAATTTCAAAAGCACAAAGAGCGAACCAGAAGACAGATACAGATGAAGTTTAATCTTTTTCTGAATTTCCTTCCTAATGACAACAAGAAGTAACAACAGTCAAGAAAAACAGAGAGACAGAAGATTGAACGAATAAAAACCCAAATAACATAGAAAGAAGAGTACACAATTGTTTTCCTTGACTTTAAGTCAACAGTTACAACAAGGAATAGTCATACAATCATACAGAGAATGTTGAAAGAGTAAATATTTAACACGAACAAATAGAAATTGAAAAAAAGTAGCCGTTGAGAACAAAAATAAATACAATAACACAAAGACTATTTATTCTAATTACATGCTCTAATATGATTTATTCATACCAACGTTTCTTTGAAGCGATTGATGAGCCATAACCTCCGTTGTTATCAAATTTAGCAGATTTTGAATAGCCTTTCACATTCATAACTGATGATATTGTTGTTGTTGTTGTACATTTACGTAATCGATCTATCAACGGCATTCCTACGAATACCTTGTTTCTATAGAGTATTAATCTTTCAAGCTGGTTATGATTGCAATATAAAACTTCGTTACGAAAGCTCTGTAAATTTCTCGTTACGAGTTGACACACCTCATAATTGATAAACGTGTCTATGACGTAAATTGAGGGTTTACTTTTCTTTCTATGGGCCTCAACTCTTATTTATGATCGTGCTTCATAAAAACAAAAAAGCCCTCAAAGAAATGTTTGGCAACAAATTATACCTTGTGAAATAGGAGGAATAATAAAGCCGGTGGAAATTGTAGCTTTCATCATGTTGGAAACCGGAAAAGTGTCCACAATCCTTTGAGCTAATTTGTTAATAGCATAATCTGTTCTAATATCATCAGTGC